GGGGGGGGGGGGGGGGGAAGGAAGAAACAGCTGGAGGATTTTAATTATGTTGAAAAATGAAATTTGTTGAGGTTTGGTTGGAGATTGAATCACAAAAAATGTAACAAGTGATTTACTGACCATTAATTGCCATTAAATTAAATGTAACAATATTAATTGAGAGCATGTAATTGGGGCACGTGGGTGGAAATTAGCAGGCAAATAAATTAACAAATTTAGGAAATATGAGATTAATAATAATAATAATAATAATAATAATATGAGATGGAGAGATACGAAATAGACCTTGCAAATTGACATGAAATCATGGTCAGTTTCTCTATCACCAAGCCCCAAATCAGGCAAATCAGTGCCCACCTCCTTAATAAGGCCCGTCTTCTTCAGATCGCCAACTAGAACTCCGGGTTTTTTAACCAACCCGGTAGCCCGACCCGATTTCGTCACTCTCAGCTCCGTTCCGATGACCTTATCGGCTCCCAAAAACGTTTTCACGAAGGGTTCCACCATAATCCTCGGATTAGCCGTCACAATAATCCTCTTCCCGAACGAATTGAAGACCTTCCAAGTTTGGGGATGAACGTCCTCAGAGTAAAATTTGGGCAACACAGAGCGAGCCACCATTTCGATATCCGCGACTTTCAAACCGGCGAAGGCCACGAAAATGAAAGTCTGAATGGCCAGGGATTCGGACAAGAACATGTAAATTAAGTAAACTAAGGGCGACGAGACCAGAAGGAGGAGTCCCCGGAAAATGCTTCCGGCTTCGACGGCCACCAGCATGAAGTAAGGGAATGCGCTGTGAGAAATTAAAAGAGTTCCGTCTAAATCGGCGGCCACCGTCTGGTCTGACCGCCGGTCAATGTTGCATTTTGAGATGGCCGGGAATTGACGGTATGCCCCCATCGGAATTCTCGAGACTTGCGAGAGGGAAATCAGAGAGAGAGAGAGAAATGGCTGTGAGTTGGGAAGCGAAGAGCGGAGAAAATGTAAATTTATAAAGAGACAGTAGGCAATCTTAAGATTTTTTATGGTGTGATTTAAATATATAAAAAAACAAATATAAATTACTTAAAAAAAAAGGGAGTTAAAATGAGTGCATGAACCACCATTATGCTCACCCGAGTCCCATGTGCACAAGTAGCTAAATGAATCGCATTCAATTGCTACCACTTTTAAGTAATTTGTCTTTCATTTACATAAGGTCACACGACACGTTCAAGTATAATTTATTATTCATGAGTTCCATGTCGTGTACGAATTTGATTTTTGTTGTTGTCACAGATAGAACATTAACAACGATCTATCACCATTTCTCTCGATCTTTTTTATTTGATTGAACAATTAGTTAGTTTTTTTTTTATTTGATTTATAGTCTAATTTATTTTATATGATATGGGCTCACTTATTGGACTAATCTATATGTTAGTATGATTATTTTTTTTTTTTGACTAATTTTCATTTTTTCTAAAGTCTATATAAGTATTTTATAAATTAAACAAAGGGGAAGGAAAGAAGAGAGAAGAGACTGGTGAATTAATATATAAATAATATATTAAAATGGTTGAAAAACAATAAACAATAATGTGAACTCGACCTCATCTGATTGCTTCCATAACTTTACTACAAGAAACGATTAAAAAAAAATATTATGGACATGGTGTGACCTACGAACGTGTATAACAAGCTAAACAAAAACTGTAAGTTAAAGTTTTTTGGTCAATTTTTTTAATTATTTTATTAGGTAAAAAACACTTTAAATACTATAAACCAAATGATACAATAGGTAAACGGAATATTTGAAATTTATATTAAAAAAAATAATATTAAAATTTATTAAATACAATCATTATAATTATTATAATAATAATATGGTAAAGTTGAGAGAGCAGTAGAGAATTAAATGGGGTTGGTTAAGGATTGTTTTATTATTAATTTTGTTGAGAAATAAATAAAAAGAAGAAAAGTTAGGGTGGATTTGAGTGGTTGAAGGTGGATAACAACACCTCCATAACATTGAATAAGCCTACTTTTTTAGTTCATAGGCGCCGCCGCCCGCTCACTGCCGCATTTAACCCCCTTCCGCTACTTGCCTATGGTATGGACTTCAATCAGATTTCAC